TGGCCCAATTCAATACAAGGCTTGTTGCTTTCTTCAACTTCGATGGCTAACCCTTCATATTCACCAACATCACCTGCAAAGAACAAGCAGAACGAGCGGCCAGGACAAATACATGTAAAGAAGTCGGAACCAAAGTCAAATACACAATCCTCCTCCTTTAAACTAGGGGTAGTGCTCATGGTGTCAATGGCCACAGGGTCTTTAGTAACATTTGGTGGAATGAGGATCTATAGGCAATTCTTCAAGCGGATCCGCAACTCTGAATTCGTAAGTGGAGAGGATATTGCTGAGAAAAGATGGATCAAAGGCATTGTGACTAGGTGGGTACTATATTCATTTGTAGGGTGATTCGAGGGCGAAAGGCTACTCACCTCGGAGCAGCGTTGGAGATGGAGACAATTTCAGACTATACCATACACCTGGATTTGGCTGGAAATCGCCGTTGAAGTTTCGTAGCGTACCGAAAGGTAAGCACGTGGTCGACGTTCTTTTATAAATGGCTGCCCAACCAATTTCTCAAAGATTTAAATGGCAAGGATACGATACATATTAGGTTGATGGCAGTAGATGCACCTGAGGTCAGCCCTGAACATTCTTATAGCTAGCACTCGTATTCAAACTTTGATTCAATAGGCTGCCCATTTCGGGAAACCTGCTCAGCCATTTTCGAAGGAAGCTTTGGAATGGCTCAGGGATCATATTCTGAATCAACAAGTCTGGTGTCAAATACTTCGTAGGGATCAATATGGTCGAATTGTAATTCTCTCTTGGGTCTCACTGTACTTTGGAGCCAGAAAATTCATTATTCACTACAGGTTGCGACAACAGTCAAGAAGTCTGGGCTTCTCCGAGGGGATTGTGTGTCCAGTGCTATGCTAATAGCTGGATGGGCTACTGTTTACAACTCCATCAATCCAGAGTATGGGGATCTGGGTAAAGAACACATGCTAAGTTTGGAAGCAGTTGCACAGTAAGTAATATTTCTGCTACTTGATATCCAATACTTGGATTCTCTACCCTATTCATTTATTACTTGAATGCTAAATTTACCACTCAATTAGGAAAAAGAAGATTGGAATGTGGCAGAAGGGGAAAAGAGTTGAAACACCTGCAGAATATAAACGACGATACAGATCAAGTAAATAACTGAGGGTGATCCTGATCTCGGACCCTTCTACTTGTCTTTTTGGTACGGTGATATGGATTGTATCTATCGCCGGCCGTTCTGCTTCAGAGGACATCAGAAACGATCATTACTAGGACGAAAGATCTTCAACTTTTGTAGAAATTAAAACATGACATTGATAACTGACATTTTTTGGTTGTGAGACTGTATAATACAGGTCGGTTGTTTTGAGGATGCGGGTGGAACAGGAGGTAAACTGAAAAATTATACACCTAATATTCCTATCATGAAGTTAGCCTTCCATATCCACATCCCTTTCTCGTTCCAATCTGTTGGCATCTACCGACCCCTCCCATTCTCGTTTGAGTCGTTCGACATCCGCTTTTAGATTCCTGATCTTGCCTCGAAGGACAGAGACAGATACAGGTAATAGTTCTGGAGCAGGGTATTGGCCAACCGATTCGACCGAGACTGCAAAAAGCGACGTTCGGTAAAAGTAGGAACGGTAGAAAATTGTGGAGACTTACAGATGAACCAATCTCGAACTCTGCCAAGCTTCACCATATCTTCGAACTCTGGCAGTTCTAAAACGCGACGGGTGACGTTGTCTCTTCGAGGATCTTTTACCTTCACAAAGTATTTCCCTGTCATCATTTGAGAAGAAGGTCACAAGTTAACTCGAGTATGCTTACCCCTCTCTTTCTTCACCTCAATAACCCCTTCTCCGAATGCATCTCTAAACTTCTCGGCCATCTCCTGATTCCGCATCTCCAGCTTCTCCACTCGTCGATTGGCCTCATCATATCTGCCCAAATGATGAGAAATATGGTAAATGAGAAATTAGAGTTAAATATCACCTATCCCCGGATTTCAGTAGTTGTATATGAGGCATCAGTCGATAGGTGGCAGTCGCAACCGGACTAAACTTTGTGTGATCACGACCTATTGACTTGACTGCATGCATCTCCAAATGTATCTCTTGCCCTGGTCTCAGCTTGGCGAGTAATATCTTTGGATTAACGGCTCGGGGAGGATCTGATGCAAATAAAGAACCTTGCTCTCCTTGGGGCACCCATACAATTGACTCTGCAAACACTAGAGGGGGTTATTACAGTGAAAGGAAGCGAAATACTGATTTAAATACCGTTGGAATTCACATATAATTTCTCGGGATCTGTTTCTCCTGCTTTGACGTTGGAGCGATTGGTGCATTCGACGTCCAAAGTGAAGACTATTGTATTTCTGTCCGTGGAATTGGTTTGGTAATCCGTAGGTGCATCGTCCATGATTCGCGGATTGATGTGTAACGGTACGAGCCCTAGTCGATGCGAAAGGACTTCATCATTGATAACTGAAGTGTTGTTGTAAACGTATACACGTTCAATAGCGATTGTCGGTACCTTGAATAAAACAGTTAAGCATAGTCTAAAGGACTGGTAGATGCCATACCTCAGCGATTAAGATGCGACGAAAAGCATTGGCAATAGACGCATCCACCCCAACAAGGTCGAATTCTATTCGCTCATCGGTTACATATTGGAAGTCGATCTTGAGATGCTGCAGAATACCCGAGTTGGCACGCTGATCGTCCATGCATATAAACTTTTGACTCACCTCCTTAAAATCTTCCAAATCCCAACTGTTATCTTCACCAGGATATACACCAGGATAGTCCGTGCTTGAGACCTATAGAGTGGTTGAGATCTGGAACTATACTCTCGGCGAGAATAGGTAGGGGATGCTGAAAGAAAAACCTGTGGCATGACAACTTACGTCCGAGATATGTTCTTTATACAGCTTTACAAGGCGCCGAGAGGTGATATCTGCCATTTGAGATTTATTGATGATATAATGTACAGCCGAAAGGTCCAGGCGAATAGATGGGAGAGAACGAAAGGTCAAAGTCGCTATTTTGGACTCGCCCATTCGCATCAATATTTCGACCCGCCAAGCACCCACATTATTTTGCAAGGATGGCCACACTGTTATCTCTCATTCCAAAACCTGTCTCTTTGACATCGCCGACGGCACTGGTATTGCCATCTTCGCCTCAGAGCGCCACTTCAAAGCAGCAACCACAGCACGAACAAGAAGAGTACAGCTACGCGGATCTACGGGCGCTCGTCTTCTCATTTCGCAAGCTACTTATCGAAGAACTCGGTGTGAAGCATGGAGATGTCGTTGCGCTTTCTATGACAAATACTCTCGAATTTGTCGTGAGTTTCATTGGGACGACTATTGCGAGGTTCGTCGTCATCCTGTCCTCCAGAGACCGGCTAAACTAATTACCGTCAAACTATTTCGACCGCCACTATCCTCCTTTCTAGGGCTGTCTCTGCGCCATTGAATCCCGCATATTCCATTGGAGAGTTCCAGTTTTACCTGCAAGATACAAAGCCTGCCCTCTTGCTGATCCCTCTCCTTCAAGGCGGCTCTAATAAGGCAGCTCAAACCGCACTAGAAGCTGGGAAGAAGGAAAACATTCCCGTTTTTGAGATCTGGGTAGATGATGGAATAATAAAGACGAATCAGGTCTTTGGGAAGAAGCATTCTGGCACGAAGACCACAGTGGCACAGACTGGGGATCCACAACCCGAGGACATTGCTCTCGTTTTGCACACATCTGGGACCACGGGTCGGTATGTATCACGGTTTGCCATACTCACCTGTCTTCTCTAATGAATGATATCGTTTCATTTTAGACCCAAGAGTGTGCCTCTCGCCCATCGAAATCTCATGCGCACCACGGCCAACATAATCCAGACGTATGATCTCAATTCATCTGACCGTACCTATCTCGTTATGCCACTCTTCCACGTTCATGTAAGATAATTGACGCATGGACTACAAAGTGTAAATCTAACCACGAAGTAGGGCATGCTCTGCGCCTTCTTAGCAGGTGATGTTGGTGAATATGAAGGGTTAGCCATCGAAGTTGAAGAAAGCAACAAGCCTTGTATTGAATTGGGCCA